CATCTCAGCAGTCTACACCTAAGATACGCTAGCCTGCTACCACCACTACAGTGACTCTAGCTGTATAGCCTAGTGGGCTTCAGAGTCAGGGACAGCCAACTACTCAGTTTGCTTCACCTATAGAGTAGATGTCCTAGTGGTTTGCTTCAATAGTGGAAGCTCCGGGTCCTCACTTCACTCCTATTGTCACGGGCTTCACTCCACCTCATAGCTCTTCAGTATTAGTGACGGACACCCCAGTATCTAGGAGTTTCAGTGCTACCTTCAGTGAGCTTACAGGGTAGCCTACACCTCTAGAGCTACGAGTCCCTATCCCTACCATAGTTGCTCCAATCACCGAGACTACTAAGATGCTCCCATCGTCTGTTGCATCTTCCGAGCCAGTTGAGGTTTCAGCGACAATGACAGCAGCAGATGTGGCTCCACTTCCTACAGTGATACTTCCAGTGACAGAGGGTCAGACCGCTCAGAGTTCAGGGTCAAAGGATGATGCTACTTAGTTCCAGATCTCTCACCGCACCTCAGCGCCCGACTCGACTGCTCCTGCCCCACCGTCCGACCCTTAGGTTTTGATGCTTGACGCCAAAGGGGGAGAGGGAGCGAGTATGTTAGATCTAGGGGGAGCATTAGATCTAGGGGGAGCATGTGATTCGTTACTTTTGGTTCTTTATGTGTGATACATTATGCATTCATGTTTACCTTCATGCATTGCATTACATACTTATGATTGTGAGACTTATGACATGAGTGCTCTCTACATTGATACTTATATATTTGTCATGTCACTTGATTCAAATGAGCTTTACTTCATGCTCTCATTTGCTTTGCTTCCGCATTTTACTCCAATTCAAATGAGCTTTACTTCATGTACTCTTGCTTAATTCATATCTTTTTAGTACACCATGTTGGCTTGGGTCATAGAAGCATGTCTAACCCATTTGTTCTTATTGTCAAAAGCTTATATGAACCAAGCATGTTGAAAACCTCACTCATCTCTTCTACATACTCAAGGTTGTGTTGTCATCAATCACTAAAAATGGGAGATTGAAAGCATCTATGCCCCTAGATGGGTTTTGGTGATTAATGATAACATGAGATTACTATAACTAACGTATATTTTGCAGAGGCAATTTAAGTTATGTCATGGTAATGATAATTGATTGGGCAGTCATGGTGGTCAAGCCCCTGACGATGGAAATCGTTTTGGTTTTCAAACGATGGACAACAAGGTTAAGGACAGACTAGTTCTAAGTGTCGTTTGGCGTTGGAGAGACACTTAAAGTAGTTTAGGACTTTGTTTTTCCTTTGGCCATACTATTAAGGGGGGTATGGACTAGTAGCTTGACCTAGGTGAGTCTAGTGAGTTAGGTGTGGTGCACACTGGTTAAAACTAGCACTAGGTAGCTCAGGTATAGCCCTAAGATCGATTGGAGCAAACTTCATTCACATAGGATTTCAAGTTGGAAGTGAATGGAGGGTCAAAAGACTGACCGGACGCTGGTCTAGTTGTGACCGGATGCTAAAGGGTGAGTCCGGTCAGTTCATTCGATCAACTAAAGTCGTCTGGTACTGACCGGACGCTGAGTGAAAGTGACTGGACGCTGGGTGCCTGCATCCGGTCAACTCCAGAGAGGGAATTTCCTGACCGGACGCTGAATAGCAAAGTGACCGAACTCTGGGTGTCAGCGTCCGATCAACATCTGTAAGGTTCCAGATAGCGTTTTTTGTGACCGGACGTAGGTCAGAGTCCGTTTAGAACTTAACGGCTCTTTCTGACACAGTGGCGAGGATAACTGACTGGAGCGTCCGGTCACCCTGACCGTAGCGTCTGGTCACCCCGCAGAGTGCTGACTCAGCCTCCCAACGGTTTGTTTTGAATGAGGGGGTATAAATACTTACCCCACACGTCCATGGGAGACCTCTTGCCCATTTATTCAGCTGTGAAACACCTTGAGAGTGCCAAGGAGAGGAAGAGCCTAGTGAGGTGATTGAGATTTGAGAATCCAAGATTAAGGTCCTCATTAGTATAAGAAGAGTAGCAAGTGTGCATCCACCCTTCTCATTAGGCTTGTCGTGGTTAAGGGAGAGTTTGTGCTTGTTACTCTTGGTGATCGCCATCACCTAGACGGCTCGGTTGTGATTGGGAGTTTGGTGATCATCCGGCGGAGCTTGTGGATGACCCAACTCAAGTTGTGAGCGGTTGTAGGCGATTCACCACGATAGAGTGTCGAAGAATTAGCCCGTAGAGAACACTTGATCCTTGCGCGGATCAAGGAGGAGCTACACCCTTACGTGGGTGCTCCAATGAGGACTAGTGGGGAGTGACGACTCTTCGATACCTCGACAAAACATCACCGCGTTCATTTCTCTCTCTTTACTTTAAGCATTTACATTTGAGCAAATTATTTCATGTCTTTACATTCCTAGAATTGCTATGCTAAAGTAGGATTGCAACTTAGGGTGCTAAACTTTTGTGCGATAGAACAATAAAAACACATTCTATGCATAAGGGGTGAAGTGGGCTAAGTGTAGGGCTTAATTATTAAAAGAATTTAGAATTAACCCAATTCCTCCCTCTCTTGGGCATCTTGATCCTTTCAGTACTTTCAATTGTAGGCAATGTGTCCCATCGACTGCCAGGCGTTTATGGTGACTTCGTCAATCTTGAGGATTTGCTAGTCCGGTCTTCGATGATGCTCATAGGGTAGGATTTGCATGCGTACGTTTATAGGGACGAGTGTGTGTCATGGATATCTGTGTTGTCCTGTTTAATTCTAAAAATATAGGCATCCTCTATTTTAGATGTCTTGTTGGCCAAAGATGGAAAGCGAGGATGGCTCCTTAAAGTGCGCACAAGAAGCTATTGAAACATACAAAGATATAAAAAGTAATTTTTATTCAAATAACTCCCTAAATATTGATTTTAGAGTAAAATTTAGAAAGACACTTGGAGATGGTCTAATATACCGTCCTTATTTACTCGAGCAGGTGAAGAAGTGCCCGTCCGTGCCACTCGCGGTGGCCCGTCCCTGCCACGCTGCTATCCCACACCGCGTCGCCAGCATCGAGAAGAAGAGGAGAGGGCGGAAACCCGCCCGCACCTCTAGTTCGAATGCCCAGCCGGCGCCGAGAGAAGGTGGAGACACCGAGATGAGACAGTCAAAGGTGATGAGAGAGCGAGATACAATACCAAATCTACTTTTGAAACATCTAAATACAACACTGCTAACATATATGTAAAGACAGATGAAACACTTAAAACATGCATCTAAAACACTTGCAAAAACAACTGAAAAACACTTGAAAACCATGTAAAACATGCACAATATCCAAATAAAACATTTACAATATATATGTAAAACATATGCATCATTCAAATAACACACTTACAATTTACGTCTAGAAAAACAGTTGAAACATTAGAAACAAGAGGGAATTCCTTGTGTGCCATTAAAAAAGATCGCAATGCCCTATGTGCCCCTGGAAAAGTTTAGTGGTTTTCAGCGCCACTGCTCCAACTTTTTTGTGCCCTCCATGCCACTGCCGTTAGTTTGGGCTCTAACGCCATCAAACTATAGGTGTAAAAAGTTGAAAATACCCTTAAGTCTAAATATGGCATTAATTTTTTTAACATCTTAACAACTTCAAATGAAAAAACTCAAAACTAGAAAGTTGTAGATTTTATCGAGATCTATAATTTTCATATAAAAATTATCTTCATTTAATTCCAAAAAATATGATTTGATATGATTAATATATCTTAGAAAAATCATATCTTTTTTTTAGAATTAAATGAAGATAATTTTTATATTAAAATTATAGATCTCGACGAGATCTACAACTTTCTGGTTTTGAGTTTTTTCATTTGAAGTCGTTAAGATGCTCAAAAAATTAATGACATATTTAGATTTAAGTATATTTTCGACTTTTCACACCTGCAGTTTGACAGTGTTAGAGTCCAAACTGACAGTAGTGGTATCGAGGACACAAAAAAGTCAGTGACGCTGAAGACCGCTGAATTTTTTTCAAGGACACACAAAGAATTACGATCTTTTTTAATAACACACAAAGAATTTCTCCTAAGAACAAAGCTTGTAACATATGTGTACAACTATTACAACATATGTAACGTCCTAATATACTTTTACAACATCCCATACAACACTTATACTCCCTCCATCCCAAATTGTAAGTCATTCCAAGAATCTTGGAGAGTCAAAGCATCTCAAGTTTGACCAAGTTTATATAATAAAATAATAACATTTATGATACCAACTAAGTACCAATAGATTCTTTGTTAATTATATTTTTATAGTATACCTATTTGATGTCATAAATCTTTATAATTTTTTTTATAATTTTGGTCAAACTTGAGAAGCTTTGACTCTCCAAAATTCTTGAAATGACTTACAATTTGGGATGGAGGGAGTAACATTTAACATTTAGATAAAACATTTAAAACGTACACTTACCGTGTAATTTTACCGTTTGAACGAATCGTGGAGCTGGACGCTAGCGCGGATGCCCCTGGGCGAGGACGACGAAGGCGGCCCGTGGACTCAGGTCGCGGCTGACCGTTGACGGATGTTAGTGCGGCTTCCGGGCCCATAGGTTGTGGCCGACCTTTTCCCACTATTCCGTTCGCGCCGGGCCCACTCTCTGCTCGGCTCTCGAGCGATTCCCGTTGCGTTTCCCAAGCGGGCGGGCGGGCGTCTCACGCGCCCGATGAGGCGGTCCCCGTCCGCGGTCCGTCGCTTGGAATGAGATGGGCCCGGCCTCCGGGGCGGGGATAGGCTCATAGGCTGGTAGTAACGCCTCCTTTCCCTTCCCTTCCCCCGCTTTATAACCGACGTCTCCTTGTCCTGGGACGCTGCTGCTGACACGGCTCCTGATTGATTGATTTCCTCCAGCATTCAGCAGCGCTCACAGTCACAAGCTTAAAGGTTAAGCAACGGCGAGGGGTTAGGGAGTGAAAGAGGTTCATCAGGTGCTCAGCGTTCATGGAGAACCGCAAGGAGGTATGAGCATGAGCACGCTTCCTGGGGAAAGTTATTTTCTTGTTCTTTTTACTTTCTTGAGATCTTGGGGAAATCTCGCTTCGATTCTGAGCTACTTGCCCTTCCTTCCGTCTTGCCCGTCCGTATTTTGACCCCACCGGGGCGGGGCAAACAATCTGAATCGGGCCGCTCGCTGCTTTCCGTTCCTGCAGGAGCAGCAGGGCGCGGCGGTCGGGTGGATGACCGTGCCGGCGTTCGGGGAGTGGGACGTCAAGAACGGCGCCGTGCCGGACTACTCCATGGACTTCTCCAAGATCCGCCAGATGCGCAAGCAGAACAAGCGCGAGCTCTCCAGGGCCAGCCTCGGCGGCGACGAGGACCTCCTCCAGCAGCAGCAGCAGAGTAGCAAGGCGCAGCCGCCCAAGTCCTCCGCCGCCGTCGCCGACGACGACCACCGCCGGCCGCTGCACGACGACTCCCCTACGGTAACAATTCAGGATTAATCAGCTGTCTTTCACTCGTACCATTTGCTTGCGTTGCGTGTGTGGCGTGTGTGTACTAGCCGCCCATACCCCTGCAGAGTTTGTTATTACCGCCCTTGATTTCTGAGGCAGAGTGCCTTCTTTCACCTTGTCTCGCTCACGCCTCAAAGCTCACCACACCTACCAAAACCCGGTTGGTTTGGTTGAAGTTCAATTGAAGGGCGTGGAACTGAAGCAACCGAAAAGTATGTTTACACTTCAAAGGATTGGAATGTCTTGATCGACTTTCCGATGTCGTGTTGAGGCAAAATCGAAAATTTAATTTAACACACAGTACAACTATCAGTACCTAGTTACTGAATGAATTGTTAGAAGACAGAAGCGAGCCTAGTTTCAGTTGTTCTAGACCACTGCGGTTCTGAAAAGATTACAAACAGGTTCACGATGGGTGTATATTATCAAATAAATAATAAATTGAGTTGAATTTTTATATTTGTTGATGCCGTGACATGGGACCAATTATCATGTACCATCACATTCGTAGAATTGTCATGTACCACATCAGCAAATACAATTTAGTAGCGATTCACTGGCCTACGTTCTGATGCGGCAACTGCAGATACAACTTGCTAAGACGGTCTCCAACAACTGTTACCTAAAAACAAGACCCATTTCGTATTTGGGTAGCGCTACAAGCAAAGAGTTCAATACCTATTTTTAATCTTCTCCAACAACAAGACTCAAAAGAGAATCTTTTTTATAAATAGATCTTCAGAAGAGAGGATACTTAGATTTAGATTATACCTCTGAGTACATCTAAAATTAGTCTTCCATCTGTCGGAATTCTGTCGGAGTATACAGGTATTCCATTGGAGACGGCCTTGCATTCAATTATGCGCATGCAGTGTACAGTAGTAGTAGCAGCAGTAGTAATGCTTGTCTCAACTTGGATGAAAGAGACAGCCTCATCAATGTCTTCCTAGCCTCCAAATCTGCATCTGTGTCTGAATCGTTAGCTGTACTGATCTATGGGCCACGTCGTTGTCCATTTGGAGTGGGGAGAAGGTTATCTGGGCAAAATAATTTGTTTCAAAAAAATCTGGGCAAAATAAATAAAATCAGATTTATGTTTGTACCTCATTTGATGGCGTACAACAACGTCCTCCATCAGTGGAAGGTTTTAGTAGCTTCAGCATGGTGTTGGTCCAATTGTCAATTGCATTTGGTGTTGATTCAGTGGGAAGCAGGAGTTAATGGGTTTGGGAGCACTCACGTGTGCATCAACTTTTCAATTTATTTCTTTTTTCCTCTGAAATTCATAGAATGTATTTATGTGTGGGTTTACACATATCCTACTAGACGACCTCCCATGGGTGCTCCTTTTATGAGTCCAATTTTAGCTAACCTTACCAGTAGATGGCAGTGATGAGTCCAATTTTAATAAGGCTATGAGCAGCTTTTGATCGAATTTCCAAAAGGGTGTGATTAGTGCAGGTGGTTATAGATGCTTTTTTTTTTAATTGAGAAGAAACTAGATGTCGTTTAGTTGGCCACGATAAAGTAAAGTCATTCCCTTCTAGAAAAGTAGTTTGGCTCGTTACTTTCAGGTGGCGATAAGTGCATTGTTGGTTTATTATCTTGTTGATTGATGTGCTACCTGATGAAGAACTGCAGCCACAGTTAACTACTCGTAAAGTGTGTGCCAATGTGTTGTTCACTGATATTAGTGACCCATAGTCTGACATATTCCACGTACCCATGAGGACCACATGTTTTTCAGATTCTCAACATGACATTTTCAATGTCTTGCCTGCCGAACTTTCCCTTGGGTTACCATCATGTGTTCCATTGCTTATGATTGACCAACTGTAGCGATGTTTCCACCAATCTTACACCTAATTGACCGGCGCTGCCAAAGACTGGCCAATAACTCCAATCTATTGCTATCGATGCAGGGAAGGAAGAAGTTCCTGAGCTATTTCCAATGCTGTATCAGAGCATGAAGAATTTCTAAACTTCCTGCAGTGTCACAGCACATAACTCCTGTGCAAATAGCTGTTAGATTTCTTCTGTACTGTAAAGTTTTCATAATTTGTAATCCTCTGATTCTGTAATCTTGTCACTCATGCGAGCGATGGGGAGAGCGAGAGTGAGAGGGAGAGGAAGGACGGATTGCAGGGAAGAAAAGCTCATGGTTCATGCTGTGTTTTTTCTTCCTAGTCAAAAGCGATGGCTCGCAACTTTTAGTGCAATGTGATCTGAAAAGGATTGGATCTGAAGGTGTGTGACTTGTTTTGGTTGTAGAAATTTGTCTGCGCTTGAGATGATGATATATTGAATGTCCGTCCTGTTCTTGCTTTTGACTTCTTTATTGTATGCATCTCTGAATTTTATTTTTCTATCTAGAAGATCTCTGCATACAGGTTGCTTTGCCGTAGAAGCAACAAGGTCTTTGATAAATACGACTAATAAGCATAGCTGTTTCCATGTCGAAAACAGGTAGTAAGAGCTTGTCCTGGTTACTAGATTTCCAAGTGTGTGCCCACAAGAAAAGGACCTGAACTGGAGTTTGCAAGTCTGAACTCTGAAGAATGGATTGCAGTGCGTGCACGTGGTCATCCGGACCAGTTTGTGTGCTGCAGGTCATCTCATCCTCGGAGCATGTTGATGTAAAAAAAAAGTGCTACAGTACCCGTCACATCAAATCGTATGATACGTGCATGTAGCTGTAAATGTAGACGAAAAAAAACTAATTACACAGTTTGGTTGGAAAATCGCGAAACGAACGTTTTGAACCTAATTAGTCCATGATTGAACATTATTTACCAAATAAAAACGAAAGTGCTACAGTAACCAAATTCTAACTTTCCTCTCACTAAACACAGCCTGATGTGAACAGCAGCAGAAAACAAATCTTTGAATTCATCGGGTGCAATCAGGTAAAAGTATAGAATATTCAAGCATATCTAGTTTTCCAAAAGAGGTGCGACATACTCCATCTATCCTCAGTTAACTGTCACGTTTGGTTTCCGTGTCAAAAGTTTAACTTAATTTTTAGAAAATATGTGCAGCATTTGTATCTTCAAATAAATTTATTAAAAAACTAGATTTAAATATCTATATAATGATAGTTGTTTCTAAACGACATATATTTAGAGACGGAGGAAGTATATGGACTGGGTGTGGACGCCAAAGCTACGGATGCTTGTGACTGTTCTCTCTAGGTTTTTCAACTCCCAAGATGTCTAGCCAGATAGGTCCAATACTTTTTAAAATTTTAATGAACTTTCTCCAAAACCATGTATCTATTTAGAAATTTGTTTTAACTACAATATTTCTTAGAATTAATGCAAAAAAAAAAGATACAACATAGTTTTTTATATTTTATTTTTTATATAGGAAAACTCAAAGTTTTTATAAAAAATAAACTACTTCAACATTATGAGTTTACTCTTTTAACATTTTGATTTCCCTATATCAACGTTTAACCTAGAACATTTCAAACAGATTATCTAGACTAGGATTGAACAAATGTTGAATCTAGTATTTCAAAATGTTGATTATCCTTGCTCAGTATTTGTGTGAAAATGCTGAATTAGATTTGAATATCTTTGAATCAAGTGTCTTGAATGGTTGAGTTTAGCAGCCTCGATTTTGGTGTATGTCTATTTTTCATAGGATCTAGTGCCTAACTAGACCGTGATGGATCAATTCACACAAAGATTTGGTCGTGAGCGCAAACGATGGTGGCCGATAGGACGGTGGAGGCAGCGGCTAGGAGATTGGTGTGCATGGCGGCGGGAGGTGTCTAGGCAAGAGGGTGCGCGGGGATGGAAGAACTAGGATAGGAAGGCGCCTGGGGACCAGTGGGGCTTGATCTGGCCGACGTGGACAGACTGAGACGGCAGATTTTGCATCAGCGGAGCTCAAGCACATTTTGTTTCGGATGGGAGCAAGAGAGGAATGACCACAAACTGAAAATTAGGGGCCTCCTCTAGTGCCCCCAGGGATGAGGGCCTCACTTTGCCATAATAGTATATCACTACGGGTCAGAACCCCCCATCACGACCAAAATTGTTTCCAGTAAAGAACAATAGACAGTGATGGGGTGGCCTATCACTGCTGGTTTAACGACCTGATACTGATAATAGGCACGCCACTAACAAGTCTAATCATCAACTAGCAGTGATATCTATGAGTATCATTGCTGGGTTGACTTATGAACCGACAGTGGCACTCATGGCACCACTGCTGGATCAGTGCACACTCAGCAATTAATTGTTGAGGGCCATTGTCAGTCTAATACCACACCCGACAACTATTATTATAACGCACTAGAGAATTCTCATTGCCATCACATTTCTCACAAGATAATATATATGAATACATCATTTCTAGAAACTTAATAGGTAGATGTAAGGAAAATGGATTCTTGGTCTATTTAGTTTAGGTTTTGGTGTTTGATGATCAATATGACCGAGTTGGACTAATGAATTTGCAAGTGTTTATTTTATAGTTCAATGGGATGCATATGCGGGATATGTCGAGATGGAGGACTAGAGGGGGGTGAATGTCCTTTCTAAAACCAATTGTGCCAGCTAACTGTAACACCTCTGGTGTTTTGACCTAGCACTAAAATTTGGCATGTCATCATATGCATTGCAAAGCATTCATGGATTAGAAAATTTTGAATGCATTCACTAAATAAGCTTTATTTCATAATATTGTTATTTCATGTGATGTGTTTCAAAACCCTAAATAAATATCATGACCACAAGTGTCAAATTTCATGTGATCATGTGAGGCCATGTGTCATTTGACTCAAATAACCCTAATGGGCCATGTTACTGGTCAAAAATCAAAGTTAAAGTAAAAGAAAGACAAATCAAATTTGAATTCAAATTTAAATTATAAAAGTCCTTTTTGCCCCTTTTGACTAATTCAAAATCCATGTGGAATTTGGGGTTGAGGCAAAAAGCAAAGTTGAAGATTATTTTATAAGGGTCAACTTTGGTATTCAA